CTGGTGGTCAGGGTTATGATTGGCTGAATGAAGGCAGAATAAGCCCGAAACAGTGCTGTATCAATCTACCCGCATTCTCTGTCGTCCCTCCTCGCTGCTATTATGACTTGGCCGACTTCGGCCTGGTAATTGGTTGCCTGTTCGTGACCTCTGCCACACATAGTGAGCTTGTTTGCTTTGTGAAGCCAATAGATCGGTGTGCGCTCATTCCTGTTTGATATATATATATATATATATATATATATGCAGAATGCTATTACCGACAAAGACAAGGGAGTCTGGAATGGCCATTTCTGGCTTATTAGCCGTCGTCAGTCAGCCTTACCCATCCCCGAAGTGTGGAGCACCCGAGCCTCGAACTCGCGACCTGTTGGTTTAGAGGTCAACGCCTCTACTCACCAGGCCACGAGCCCGTGTACATATATATATATATATATATATATACCGGATACCCGTCGCAAGCCCGATGCGTGTTCCTCTGGCGAAGATTTCGCGACGAGTACGTGTGTGGTCAATGTAGACATGCCCGAATGAAAAGCCCCGCAAGACCTCATCTACGCAGTACTAGAAGGATTCTGCTGCGCAGAGCAAATTGAATGGCGTGTCGAAATTCGAACAGGCCGAAAGGCGCGGTGATTTCCGTCGTGGAATATCTAATTCTGCAACGGGTATCGGGTGACATACTCTCACGAGGTCTTATTTGGAAAAGAAATAGGGTTTTTCCAGCATGTGAGAGGAGTCATGGATATCGGAGATGAAATACCGATTAAGGACGATAGCCTTGTTTAGGGCGCAATAGTCATAGCCACCCATAATTATGACGTCATGGATCCTCTGGTTGACTCCGCGTCATGTTCTGATCAAGGCATCTGTCGTACGGCGTGAAAATTTCCAAAATGTCGGTTTTCTGCAAATATTTTAGCTCATATACAACTTTTGCAGCAGTGCCCCAAAATTCGGGTGGATTGAATAAAAAATCTTTTCACATTCAACTCCAGTTAAACTTGAAAACTCCTATGGGTTCCGTGCCGTTTGGGGCCGCCTTTTTAGGGGTGCCATTTTTCTCCTGATGCATTCCGCCATGAATTCCGCCACAAAGACGATGCCGAAGGTATTTTCCTAGAAGTATCTGACGTAAACTCCAATTTATAGAGTGAAACACGGATTCCCAAACCTCCGAAACCACCGGAGAAGCCACTGATGCCTTATATGCGTTATAGTCGGAAGGTTCACCATTTTAGATTGTTGAGCAATTGTTTTCAGGTATGGGAAAGGGTTAAGAATGAAAACCCCCAACTAAAACTATGGGAGGTTGGTCGCATAATTGGCCAGATGTGGCGAGAGTTGCCTGATGAAGAGAAGAATGCATACATCGAGGAGTATGAGGCCGAAAAGTTGCCATATTCAGAGGCTATGCGTCAATACCATAGTTCTCCCGCTTACCAGGCGTGGATAGTGGCCAAAGAAAGAGGTATCCTGTTAAGCCTTCTTGGTCTCTTCACTGCTGATTTTTGCCTCAAACCGACTTGACACATAACCATACTTTTCATGTACACTTACAGCTGAAAAAGGTGGAGATGATGCCGAGATGGACAGGAAGAACCAAGCGCGACCTCGGGATAAGCAAGAGGCTCCTCTCATAGACCTCCGTGAATCTTACATTCTGGAAGACAACGAAGAAGGTAAACGCTCACTTCTTGTCCAGCAGTCTTGTAGATCCCGACGAACAGTTCACCGTGAAGCACGTAGCTGCCGCCCGCTTTCAACGCAATCATCGCCTTATGCAGGAAATACTAAGTGATGCCAAGTTACCGGACCCCGGTCAGCTCATAACTAAGACTCGTCTGTACACTCTCCGAATGCAGGTGAAACAGTTGAAGAACCACAAGAAAAACTTGTGCAGTGAGATAGAAAACTGTGAACTGCGACACCAGGCGAAAATGCGTCGTATTGCTGATGAATCAGCAGCTTTCTATGCTGACTATCGCAAACTTTTTGCTACCAAACCGCGCATCACAGAGGCACAATTCTCCGAAATGATCATTAAAGCCAAGCACGACTTGGCTCGAGAAGAGGAAGAAAAGCGTGAGCTTCAAATACTGGAGGCTGAGAATCGTCGGCGAAGGCAGCAACAAAGACAACAGAGGGAAGCCGAGCTTGTGGATGCGGAACGGCGCCGTCAGATACAACATCAAGCCCAACAACAAGCGCAACAACAGGCCAGTCAACAGCCTCTGCCAGCGCAAGCACCGCATTTGCAACAACAGCAAAACCCACCAAAACAAAGCGATTTTTCTAAAAAAGCGCCTGAGGCACCGTCGTCTCCGCTAACTGGTCCAAACGACGTAGTATGTTCTACCAAACTCATTTTTTATCACGGTCTAAGGCCATCTTTTTTGTATTTAGTTTTCTGAGCTGTTATGCACTTTCCATGTAGTTTTCAAATTAGCCTACATCTTCGCATCTTCAATTTGAAATCTAGTTACTTGCAGTGGGTTTCTGTGAATTGATCTTCTACATTTAATCCTCTAGTCACAACCGGCCAACGTAACAGAGTCAGAAGTCCACTCAGCTGTTCCTGGTCGACCGCCTGCCACCTGTAGTGTCGGGCCGCAAATAAGCCAACCAACCGCGAAAATGTCTTATCCGCAGTCAGTCCAGTCACCACAGCAAAATTATCCGCCAATTCAACAAGCCCAGAGGCCTGTTGAAGAAGTATCTGACACCAGACTTCCCCCATACCGTCCCCAGCCCATGAATGGCACGCCTAGTGGTTACGGAGCTCAGGCGCACCCACCAACTTGCTCCTATGCCCCGGCTAATCCTCAGTCCGGTCCTACGATGTCCTCAGGCCAGCCTCCCTATCCGCCTCCTCCGCATTACCCCTCGATGCCAACTTCTGTGGTGGGACACGCGCAGGTTGCGCCACCGCCACAAGTGACGCAGGCGCCATCTGTACCTCTACCACCGCAGTCGGCTATCCAATCGTCCCAGCCAGCCGAATCGCAGTGTCTGCCCGGATACCCTAGCGAACCGCCGAATTTCTACTCTTCCCCGAAGCCATCCGTTTCGTCAGAGTTTTCCCCGATGTCTGCTAAAAGAGAGGTCGTTTCCGACAAGACTATGGATTCATCCGAGGGACAGGTCACGCCCGTTCCAGCGAAGAAAAAGAAAAAGTCCACATCAAGCCAGGGTAACAAGGATAAAAAGCTCGTGCAACCCGAATTGCAAAGATCGACAGTTCCTACAATGGGACTAGACCAGCCTGTGTCTACTGGCCAAATTAGTGGTGTGGAAATCGGAGTCAGCGATAGGGGTTCAAAGCCTCCCGTAACAAAGTATACCCAAGGCTACTTTGACGATCTCCAACGTCAGGAGTCGCCTGTACTAATGCAGAACACCAATGCCCACTTTCAGCAGCAACAGCAGCAGCAACAACAACAACAACAGCAGGCACCTCTGCCCCAGCAACAGTCGGAGTACCATCACGTGCAAACAGGCATGCAATCGGATAACCGTATGGCAATGGGTGGTAGCTACGGCCCCAACCCGGCATACTATTCGCCCTCGTCACAGGGGTTCCCTTCGCAGCCTAGACAGTACCCAGCACACCCTGGCATATATGGTGCGCCGCCATCGAACTATCCTAGTCAACAGACTCCTCCGCCAGCCTATCATCACAATCCCTCTCAACCAGGTTCGAATGTGCCACCTGGCCAGCCGATGCCACCACAACACACTGGCCAGATGACCTGGTCTATGCAACATCAGCAGCAAGCCCAGCAGCAGCAGCCGAGCAGCGGGTATCCACCCCAGTATCCCGGTCATGCACCCATGATGCGTTATCCGATGACGTCTGGGATGGGCTATCAGTCACGCCCAATGTACCCCGGTCAGCATCCTCAGTCGCAGGCACAGCAATCTGGCGCACAGGAGGGTCCTCAACATCAGACGGCCCCAGCCCCACCGCCTTATCAACAGGCCGCCATGCAGCAAAACTACTGGCCTCAACAGGGCCAACCACAGCAGCAGCAACACCATCAGCAGTCGTCCATTCCGGGACATATAATGTCGCAGGGTCCTGCAATGACGCAACACAGCCAATATCAGGATAGACAACGCATTCCTGGTCCGCCGTCAGAAGGTCCGATGAGGGGGCAACAACAGCCTGGTCCGGGACCCATGATGGGTCCTGTCAGTCAGAGCAGTGGAGTTCCTGGACATAAACACCCCTCGATGATGGGTGGCTACTATCAAGGTAACTTGATCTTTGCCACTAAACTACTGATGCCCAGTAATAGAAACTACTGTATCATTTTTTAGTTTGAAGTGTCAACTGGTAGAATTCTGCCGTCATACTAGCGTTTTCAGATCGTGCGTACCCAAATGAAAAAAGACGTAGATCTTTGACATCCCAGTGACCGATTAGATATTACTCACACATCTTCAAGTACACTCCTTTGTTGTTTCGAGACACATTGTTCCTCTAAGGCAATGTAGATGGAGTTCAAGTGGTCTATTGAAGTAGAACTTAAATTCTCCAAAAGTGGCTTCTGTCAGAGGAAGAGTAAGAGCGGATCTTAATCTTCCGTTTTTCATAAAAACCCCGTGCTTGTGGAGTGAGTGCGCATTCAGTTCTGCCGCGGATATTTTGACGCAGATGGGGCATACCGACAGTAAGGAAGACCAGGGACCTTCCGCTTAGAATCAGCGTCCTTTACCCTTAAGCTTTATTACTTAATTTCACGGTAAAAGCTTCCTGGAAGTTGTGGCAGTTGGGCATGCGCGTTCCCAAGTCATAATTTACTTACGTACCCGCATTCATTTTCAGTCCAGGGAGGATTTGTTTTAGGTCTCGATATGGGACACTGAGACACAAGATTTCAGAAGTATCCGCTTGAGAAGAATTCACCAAGCAGTTAACTTTCTAGACAAGAGGGAGATCAATGCACTTTTGCCTGCCCTTACGATGACATGTTGCCGAGAGCTCCTTTTCTTGACCTGATCTCTGCCGTCATTTGCAAACTGTTCTTTTTCTGTACTTAAGCTTAGAAAAGCAACGTTAACCATAGCGTTCTGCCTTGCCATGACACTCTGATTCAGAACTCGCAGGCGGTCGCACAACCAGAAGCAGTCAGTTATAGAGAAATATAATCGATAGGGGAACCTGAGTGGCCATTTCTGGCTTATTTGCTGCTGTCAGCTAGTCGTTCGGTTTGGGCTGGGACGTCGCGTTAAAATTGGCCACCTCAATCCCCACAGTCTGTCTCTGATAATCCTGCGTTCTTTTTTTATTAACTTGTCATGACTTTTTTGCCTTCTTTGCAAAGGAAAATATGAAATTCGTTGTCAAAACCCACTTCTGGAAGTTTGTAATTCACTCGTCTGGAAACTGTGAGCCCTTTCGAAGGCCAATTTAATGAGATTGGCGGTTCCGATGGGAGCAGAATTCTACTAGGTATTTCATGACCTTTCTATAAGGGATAGACATATTTCCTCGTCGACTTTCCCCCTAAATCATCCAGTTCTCAGACATTAGTTATGGCAATGCGTGATCCCCCTGAAGTTAAGGCCTAGTTTTGTGTGAAATACTAGCATTTCCACCAAAGTTCACGGGTGGACAGGAACTGCTCGGAAGCAGAGAGAGGATAATTAATACCTGTGTGGAATTCTAGTGACAGTAAGCCATGTGCATGTGTTTGCACCCATAGGTGGCGTTATGACTGGCTCAGGAAGGCCAGAAACAGCAGTCGCCCTCGTACCTCTGTCTAGCTCTGAGATGGGTCGCACAGGGTGGACGATATCAGGTCCAGGTATTATAACTAATTTGTTAAAGCCACACTGACGCGGCTTAACTCTCAGTGTCTTCTGTCATCTCTGGTCCATCTCCATGCCTTTGTATATTTATACATGCGTGAACGCAGGTGGTGGAGACTAACAGCCCGCGGGCCTCAATTCTGACCACTACACAGGCATATGGTAGACTCGCAATGCATTAAACTCTTGGACCTCTGAAGTACAAGGACCTAGAATGCCATAGCCACTAAAAGAAAAAAATTTTTATGTACTCTCCTTAGCCTACGGGTCTTCACAAGCGGGGTACTGTGGCCAACAGGGACCGGGGAGCATGCCAGCAACTACATACTTCGGGGGACCGCCCCAACAGACGCAACAGCACATGAACTACAGTGGAGCAGGCGGTGGCGGGGCGTACATGCCTCAGGGAGTCGGCCAGCCGCCAGCAAGCATGTGGCCCGGCTACCCACCATCACCTCAGCAACAGCAGCAGCATCAAATGCAACCTGCGGCCGCCTACATGTCTCAACAGCAGCCACCACCGATGGGCCACCCAGGCCAACAGCAGCGCTCTATGATGATGCCCGGAGGGCGTCCAATGTCAACCGGGGGGCCGCCACCGCCGCCTCCGCAGCAGCAGCAGCAACAACCGGCGCCGCCGCCGCCGGGGCAGGCAGCACCAACATCGCAACCATCCGCATCGTCCGCGGCCTCAAAGGAGGAGGCAGCTCCACCCATGCAACGACCGCCCTCAGCCTCCAGTGGGACGGGAGGCGGGCAGACTGTGTCCGGAATGCCTAACGTCAGTGGCATGTAGCCTCGATCCTTGGTGCGGCAACTCCGACTCCTCACGTTGTCAGACTGCATTTAGGGTTCGATGGTGTACGTGTCTGCGCGTACGAGCGCAGTCTGTTGTCACCTTCTGTGGTCTACTTTTTCTCCGTCTACTGTCCTTATACACGTTCACATCTCCCTTTTTCTCTCGCGCGTACGCGCACTCATCCTATACTGCCAGTAAACTTTTTTTTAACAATCTTGTCACGTTATTCTAGTCGCTGCGGGGCCACGGGGTTGAGCAAACGGCCAGTCAGTCGCTTGAGCTGGGCTCCGCTCCGGCCTGCCTGCCTGCTCATCTAAACAACAGACTAGGTCGTTGAGAAAAAAACGCGATCGCCGGAGCATGACTTTCATACGCCCGACATTTTGGATTCTCACCCGAATCCACCACAGGGGACAGTCACAGATTAGGGCGATGGGTGCGCTAATTATAGGATGCGGTTGTCATGTCATTCCACCGCATGTCTATCATTATTGTCAGCCTCCACGCCAACCGCTGGTGGCCGTACTTGGTGCAACTAGGCCGTGTCTTGATGTGCCCCCTTCCCAAGATGAAGTATGTTGAATGAAGCTTGAACTCGGATGCGAAGCACGGATCTTCCCAGCTTGGGGTTGCGATATCTAACTACCTAACGAAAATCATTCTGGGAAATGGGACGGTTGGGTTGCCAATCGTTTGCTTTCCAGGGCTGAGTAGATTGGAGGCCCAACCCTTCCTGCCTATCCGAGAACGTGCGAGTCTGCGCCCGAAATCGAGACATCGACGGAAGTCTTTCAGCGGACGTTACTTAGGTGGGGTTGTAGTATGGTAGTCAGGAAACCAGATTACTTCGTGCGCCGTAATACGTTAGCTTCCAGTTTGAAACGGACAGCCACCCGCACGAATGGGATTGGTGTAACTCGCTGCTGAAGTGGTTTGTGCTGGTCCCAGTTGATGTCTCAGTCATAAGATAATGCGCCTTTCTGAAATGTTTTAATAGAAGTTGAGGCTTTTGGTGGTAAAATGTACGCTAGACCAGATGGGGGTTCGTCATCATGATTGATGACGGCCGACATCACCGTGGCTGTTTGTTTCTAGAGGGATAGGCGGTACTCTGGCTCTCTTATACGCACTTGACTGACGGTACCAGGGCAATGTAACAAGACATAAACAGGTGCGGCAGTAGTTGAGTTTGCCCCCTGATAGCGGTCCGCCCGATTACGTGTTTAGTTCCAAGGTACTTGAACAACCTCAGTGTGGAGGCTGATTCTTCGGTTTGACCACAATATACAGCATCGCAAGTATCGCATGGAATCTTGTGGACAACACGAGAATCTACGTCGAAGATATAGTACTAAGACTTACTTTTACTAGAAATCCTACTATCATCAAATTACACTTCTTGGGATGCCTGCATGTCCATATGCCCATATCACCGAGGAGGAACAGCAGAGAATGCGGGTAGATTGATACAGTACTGTTTCGGGCTTATTTTGCCTTCATTCAGCTAATCACAACCCTGACCAGCAACTGGGACCAGATGAACCAACACATCTGGCGCAGTTGATCCACCACTGGGGTCTACCAGATGGGTCCTAAGCACTTCATCGAACTGAAGTTCATCAGTGCCTCGCCACCTGTCATTCTCTGTCGCTGCAGATGGACGCACTCCGATGTATGGGCTTCACGAAGCAAACAAGCACCGTATGGGTGGCAAAGACCACGAACAGGCAACCAATTACCAGGCCGAAGTCGACCAAGTCATAATAGCAGCGGGGAGAATTTTGTTTGCTCCGTTGCCCACTGGGTTCACGCCCACTCCGGACAGTTTTATTTAATTCGTGTAATCGGGACGTGGTGGGTACATGATGAGAGACTTAGGTGGACGGAACGCAATTCTGCCCCACTGTGCAGTAATTTACGCCAGTCACCAGTGCTCTGTGGACCTCACCGTTTGCGGCGGTCGACGTGTCGTTTACACCGCTTCCTATTACGGAGCCTTGAAGTTGCCGAAGCCGTAAACTTTATTTCCTGATTTCACTCCCTACGCAACGCATCCATGCACTTTAAATGAAATTTTCTCTTGCAAGCTGTGCAAATGACTGCATTTTGTGCTGATCGTACATAATTGCACTCCAAATTTCATGTGTACATGGAAAGGACCGTTTGGCGCGCCCTTCGTAGTTCCACACTGTAAAACGCCTCCGCAAACAATTGTTACTGGCGGCATTTTAGTAAGGTGTGCGTTTAACTTTTTCAATAGGGCCATGAAGGACATTGCCTATTACACTAACTATACTACTATACTCACGTTATCTGTACCTCGAATCTATTGACCGATTGTCACGCAATACAATACAATTCCACGTCGCCTGATGCAACCTAAGAACCCATTGCCACCCGCTGAAACGTCAGCAGTCATCTACAAAATAAATTGCAATGAGGACGAATGCAATTATTTGGGCGAAACCGGGCGGAAATTGCAAACTCACCTACAAGAGCACGAATCGGCCAGTCGGAGGTCAAACCCTAACTCTCAACTAGCAACACAAGTTGGAGAAAAAAGGCATACTTTTGACCTCCAGAGGGCTACCATCTTAGGCCGAGGCAACACAAAAGCAGAACAGATAACTCTCGAGGCGTGGTTCTCCGATGCCCACTCTATCAACAGGCATCCGGACCTTCCTGCAGCTTACAAAGTCCTACGTCATTAGAATCGTAGAGCTCAGGACCAAACAACCACACCGGACTTAGCAAGGCCGTATGGAGATAGCCTGACGCTGAGTTTACTCGGTGACGAAGAACAAGAACGCCAGACCGACAGCCCGAAAAAGGTTCAATCAGCTCCCCTCGACGGAGTGGTGACTCACAAAGCACACAGGCAAAACGCCCGTCAACCATCTCCGGAGAGGAAAAATCGATCAGCACGAGTCCGACCAACACAACATGCCACTTTTAATTAAATTTCTGACCGATTAGGTGCACTTTACGCTTTGACAATGGGGAGCCGACCCAGCTCTTTGAAACCTCAGCATTTAAATAAACCTGTTCCGGAGAGCCTATCTACTACTACTACTGCTGCTACTACTACTACTACTACTACTACTACTACTACTACTACTACTACTACTACTACTACTACTACTACTACTACTACTACTACTACTACTACTACTACTACTACTACTACTACTACTACTACTACTACTAC